TGAAGCGGCAGGGAGAATAAGTGGCCCCAGAGTTGAGTAACCATCATTATTTCATACAGTAACTGATGCATTACTGGGCTTCACGCCTGGATGTATCACCGGCTCTGTCGGTGAACTTGTACATTACAAGGATGGATTCCTCTGAACTCACGATGACTGGTCTCACTGCTAGCCGGCCTATCAAAGTTCCCATAGACCATAGAGAAATGAAAAAGGTGTGACTCAGGACCACTGTAGCTGGTAAACAATGTGTTTCTTCTCTGCAAGACAGGGTCAGATTCAAAGGGTCATCAGGGCCTTGTTATTAGAGGCTCATTAAAACAAAGGACAGGTAGAAGTACAGTTGTTTGATCCGACACCTCTGATAAAATAATATCACTGTTTAATTCCTGCAACTTGCATGGCATGAAATTCAAAAGAGTAACAGAATGCGTTGGACCTTGGAGAAACTGGCTTTACACCGCCACAGGTAGGACTCTGTTTCAAGGGTTGGTTTGATTCGTTCAGGGTCTGAGATATCCGTCTGACATTTCTGCTGTCACCCCAATACAATGGAGTCAGGGAAAATGGAATTTAGTTTGTGGGGTCTGCAAGATTTTACTCTGACTGAGAGTGTGAGTGGATGTCATGTGCAGTCACGTCTCTGTGGTGTAATGTAAGGGCTGGTAAAGGTGGAGGGAGCTGGTAGCATGTGGCTAGCAGGAGCCACTGAATGGCGAGCTAGTTTTGAGAGATGACAGACGACGAACGGATGGGGGTTTCCACAATGCCACTTTATTCTACAGGATGTAAATCCCGGCTGGCTTTATTTCACTCCACTGGGAATCCATACTTTCATAAATATAAAAACACTAAAGGAACATAAGGAACAGGAGCTGTCTATCAAGGCTAAAGTATAAGGCATCTATGATTTATGCAAGAACCCTGAACGATGAGGCGGATTGTTCCGTCATCTCAAAAAACTCTGTAACGTGTGTATGATATTCCTGTAGCTATGTAACCTCATCATACTCTGTGACATTTGTTGTTTTCTATGGGATCAATTTCTCATAGAATGCCTAAAGGGACCAGCTGTGTTTAATGCAGCCTTCTACCAAACTGTCTGTAGGATGATCAGTTCTTTTGGCGAGTGTCACTGGCTGAACAAACAATTCAGCAGCAGCACTCCTTCAGTGCAGAAACCTCCAGCTCGAGAAGACAGAGACAAAGCCAAAGGATCCAAACGTCTCCCAGGATCAATGGCAGACTCCTTTTGTGGGGAACTGTCTCTTTCATTTCATCTTGTGAAACGGAGACACAGTCTGACATTCAATTAAAAAAGAAAGAGACATTGTTTGCTCTGGCTAGCTACAGTATGGGTGAAATATATCAAAGAAGCAAAACACTTGGTGACTAATGGTATTGTGTTGTCAGTTATCAACATTACTGGAAGATATTTAAATGATCTCAGAGCAGACACTATGCCAGTGTAGAGCTTGAGCTTCCCTGAGTAGTCGACATAATTGATGACATAGACGCTGACAATGCGTCGACATCAGTATTTGAAATGAACTCATAGTTGTTTTTAATCTTTTGTCCTTGGAGCTGCTAAATACACTCATAAAGCCATAACGTAGTTTGCCTGCCACCTTAGAAAATCCATTTAAAGTGTTTAAAGTAAAAATAAACTTTTAATGAAATGGTCAATTATATTTTTGGAGTAAAATGAATCTTTTATTAAATGGTAAATAGACTTGTACTTTCACAGTGAGGGATAAGAGGCTCCTTCAAGCATTCTTCAGCCATCCAAAAATACACCTCCATGAGATCTTAAAACCCACAAGCTTGCCAACAGAAGAAGATGAGGGGGGTGGGGGGGGAAGGAGTCGAGTCTAAAGCAAACAGCGGAGAAAAGCCAGAACTGGGACTGAGCAGCCAATTACGGCTTTGCTCCCTGCCTGTGAGCTCCGATGGTTTGGCATGACTGTACTTATTTTGTCATCAAGGTCTTTTTATGTGACAAAAAATCAGTAATCTCAAGACTGTTGGCAAGTCAAACCTCCGTGAAACAAATGAGGGATTTTTAGGCAGCTTCACTGGAGACAACTCGCAGCTCAGCACTCAAAGCCTGCTCTTTGCTTTAGTGACGTTACAATGAGGCCGGGCCCCAGAACCTCATCAGCAGAGCTGGAGGCTGCCGTCCATCACAGCTGGACGCGGGCAGCCGGGGTACAACCGGTTCTGCTGGCAAAGAGATGTAAGGCTCCTTTCAATTTACTTTGGGTATGCCTTGGATAGACGTTTTAGGTTAATTTTACTGGAGTGGTAACAGGTTAATAAGTTGACATCAGTTCTTTCCAGAGGTAGCCACGTCAGTAAGTGGCTGGGTCAGATGTATGCCTCTGGAGTGTGTGGTGTGTGTACGTGTGTGGTGCAGAGGACTTTGTTTATTGAGTCACTCCACAGACTGTGTTGACTCTCATCACCATCACTGACGCCAAGGGGAGAGACTAAACTTATCACAGATGAGACTTGAAGACATTTCCTTAAAGAATAGTCCCCTCAGCAGGCGTGTGAAGTGTGTGTTTGTTAAGAAAGAGAAGCTGTAGATGGGTTGTCAGATGCCAGACCTCTATCAGGCCTGCCTTGCACAGATAAGACAGGAATGCTGCCTGTAAAGGAAATCAGGGGAGACGCTCGTACTGGAGACGAAAACAACTAAGGGGAAAGGACCAGAGTACCAACACTGAGTGCTTCCAAACATCCACCCTTTGACTTCTGCTTCAATAGGCTCACAAGTGCTCACTCCTGCTAACCTGCTAGTACATGACATTGCTTTTCCTCATCATGGAAATCACAGTGCCCTAGGATTGAAACATACAACTGTGCGTTCATTTGAGAGGTCTGACTACGCAACCTTCACTAAAAGGCAACTGCATGTGCAACTGATGTCATAACTGCAAATTTCCTGTTTACTGTAAGAAAGACATTTTATAAATTGCTATTGTAGAAATGTAATGTATTGACTTATGCCTGTGGCAAGACTTATGTTGGTTAAACTAAAAGATATCTCAAAGTAAGAATATCTAAACATGAAACAGCAGTTTGCATGGGTGACATTATTTCTTTAAATGTTGACTCTCAATCATAGACTTTAAATTACATGTGGATAATCATCAGAACATCACTCATTGGTTTGTGACAACAGCTTCGGAGCCTTGAGTTCTTTATTTTGGCCGTCGCCATCTTTTTTTTTGTTTTAGCAACCAGAAGTGACAAGAGAGAGAGTGGAGCTAAGTACAACCCAACATTGAAAAGGAGATTCGTAAGCTACCACAATGTTACAATTCACTTTCATGAACACTGTGAAAGGGTTAAATTTCTAAAACAAAAACATGGACAACTCCCAGACCGGACAACGCTGTGGCAGCTACCTGTCAGTCACAAGGTAGCCCCGCCCTAAAGCATCCCCTGCTTTATGGTCTGTTTGACTCTAAATGGACCATAATGTACTAAATGAACATCATGCTGTATTGAAGAAGACTTGAAACTAGAGACTGAGACCATAAACTCATGTTTACAATGTTTACTGAGGTAATAAATCAAGAGAGAAGTAGAGTCATTTTCTCATAGACTTCTATACAACCAGAGGAGTCGCCCCCTGGTGGACATTAGAGAGAATGCAAGTTTAAGGTAATTCCGCATTGGCTTCATTTTTTAAAATATATCCTAAATTTTATAGAACATAGAAATAGTGGACTCTCCCGGGTAATATATTTATATTGATCAAATATTTCTTAATCCATGACCACCAGCTTGAACTATTTTAACTTTGTTTCTGAGAAATCGTGCACTGCATGGTGAACGGACCTAAATGCTAAAGTACCCATGAGCCTCTGCCACTGTTGCTATGGAGTAGATGCCAGTCAGAGGCATAAATACCCACCCCAGCAACAGCCTGTTACAGCGCAGCTTCTTTCCTCAGGCTGTAAGAGTCCTCGACTCATCCTCAACACTCCACCTACAAAATAGTTGTTTTCTCTTGTGTAGCTAAAAGAGCAAAAAGAGACCAACCATGTGTTGTAGAATGACAAATAAACCTTGAATCAGAACGGTAGAAAATTCAAAATGCTTTGCTGTTGTAAACTAAACATTGCACCAAAGTTGTTGAATTAATCTAACGTTGACCCTAAAATCGAAAAATGCATTAATTTAAGCTGCAGATTGTGTGTAAATTCTCTCAATCGTGTAAGCTGTTAGCGGGGCATGTAACAGAATTTGAATGTCGGAGATGAGAAGTTTCCTTAACGTCTACCTCTACCTTTCTATATTCAAAGGCATGTAGTCTAAAAAAGAAAAAAATGTTCTATCAAAGAACCAGAATTCTTTTTAAAATAGCTGTTTATATTTTAACCCTAAACGCACAGGGTCTGAAAGGGTTAATACATCCTTGCTTAGAAGGATTTTATTTTATGGCCTCATATGCTGGGGCTCATTTTGGTCTCATTCACTGACTCGCTGTAAATCTCTAAATAATTCCACTTTATGTCAAACTGCACACTATTTGGTGCGCCATCTCAAACACAAACACATGCGCACACTTGCTTTTGCTTTCCCAAGCACGATTATCTAGGTTTTTCTATTATTCACACATTCGTTTGTGGGCTTCCACCTCTGTGGGCTGGAATAAAAAGAAAACTGCAATAAACATAAAACACAATTATTTTGATGGAATAACAAGGTATTGCATGTTCATTCTCATCACAAAAATGCCACCGTATGTGATTCTAACCACCTAATTCACACAAAAACAAAAACAAGTGTGTGTGTGTGTGGGGGGGGGGGCACACAATTACCAAACCACAAAAACATTAAATAAAGAAATAAGAAAATAAACAAAATGAGACCTCTCTGAGAAGAGACAATGTTTGATAGCTTCGGTCAGTCATGGTTTCCGCCGACTTTAATGACGAAAAAGCACCTGCTTAACAATGGAATGAATTGACAGAGTTTGCCAGTACCTGAGCATCGGGGAGGGAAACGTCCACGATGACCGGCTGGCCGTGAGGCTCCCCGTTCTCTAGCCTGGAGTAGACCAGCTGGTAGCCTCTGATCTGGCCATGCTGCTTCACGGATATGGGAGGCTTCCACGTCACCCTGAGGGCAGTGGAGTTGAGGGCATCGGCCTCCACCTTCCTGGGAGGGGCTCCGGGCACTGCAGCACAACACAGCACACATCTTCCTTTTTAGAGTCTTAATGATATGATGCAGATTGCATTGATTAAATATTGATTATGTGTATGTATAGGTAACCAATATGTTTCAACAAGTGCTAGTTTAAGTGCAAGTTACAACTTACTCCAATGTAAACCCATCCACATTTCATTTAAATGCTTACAGCAACTGGAGTAATATAAAGGGGAAGAAAGGATTGAGAAGACAAACTTAGTTATTTTATGTAACAAACACTTATTTTGACCCAAACCACCATCTATTCCTAAACCTCATCAAGTACATTTGTTTCCTAAACCTAACCAAGTACCTGTTGCCTTTACCTAAATAAGTACTTTTGTTGCATGAGTAAACCTAAAAACTAAGTAAACCTACGTTGAAAGTTTATTATAGGTTTGGAAACAGACATGCAATCGCATCTAGGGTGGCAGAGGCATGACCCACCCTACTGACCTGTGATTAGCTTACAATGATACTCCTATCCTAAACATTTCCAATCTCACTCTTTATGTCTCAACCTAATCAACCCAACCAATGAAGGCAATGAGTACTAGCCAATCAGAGGCAGCGTAGTGGGGGCCTTGACATCCTAGGAAAGACACATTTGCCGTCCCTGACTGATGCTAAAAGGTACCTAGAACGTCACAGTTTGAACCGCAGGGCCACTGACCATGCGTCAGTTTGACTAGGTGGGAGTGAGAATGTGTTGGCTTTAGAAAAGAGCACTTTTTATGCCAGAAATAAATGATGTTTGTAGTATGAATGTGGATGTATAAGAGTTTTATCCCAGCAGAATTACATATTGGCAGAAAATGTGCTGGATAGAAGCAAAGTTCTATAAAGCCTGTTCTCTCATATACAATCCAGTGGTTTCTCTATCCCCATCTGATAAGTAAGATCAGAGTTTGAAATTTCTCCTGACCGGCTGAGACAGTTATGGGCCTGGAGACGCTACAAGGTAATGTGAAGGTTGCTGGCTATCTTTGCAGGTTATACACATCAAAGCTTGTCACATGGAGCCCCGAGAGGATGCTGAGAGCAGGGGTTATTCTACTTTATAGAATATCGAAAATTAGCTCATGAAGATGCCTCTGGAATGCTTAGTCAGCTTCGGAGGGAGGTGCAAATGAATACAAATTTGACTTCAATAAAAATGGGGGGATGAGGTTGTGCAAACATTAATGGAATTCAAGGCAGACAAGGAGAGGAAAGGAAGCGTTAAAGGTTAAAATGCCCTGCACTAAGAGATTAAGACATGGAGAGAAATGTGTTAAAGCAGCTCAAGTATTACCCAGCACAGCAGGCAAAGTAAAGCTCGAGAACCTTGGTGTCAGCACTATGCTCCTTGGACTAATTAGAATCGTTTAACCTTGTATAGTATCAGCGAGCTACCAGAATCAAGCTCCAGCTTTGGAGGAAAAAACGTCAATAAACTTGTGTTATGCAAAATACAAAGCCACAGCACACAATGTGGAAGAAGAACAAAAGAACCATGTCACAGACTAAACACATCTTTCAAGTCTGGTAACCAGGAAATATTAGCAACTTCTGGACATTCAGTGCTGCTGTAGGCCCTTTGGTAGTTGACTCACTACAGAGATAACCCAATACATTTATCCACTTAGCAATAATGAATGATTCCGCAAAATCTATTACTTTTACATCCAATGTCCACGTTTTTACAATTCTCACTTGCTTTAATATCTGCATAACAAGTATGGCATGGCTGCAGATTCTGGTTACGGCAAACGGACTCTGGTTAAGGTACAGTTAGGGAACTAAAACACAGTGAAGGCACTAAAACACTTGGTTAAGGTGAAAGAGAAAGCTTGTTGACAAGGATAAAAAAAATGTTACGTGGACGTTATTGGACGTTTTTTGGCAGTCTCCTCTATTAAGGTCAGACAGGCTACTAGCTCTATCACAACCCCGTACTATGTCCTGAATTGACACTGAACGTTGGCATCGGACATAAGTCGATTCATTCATATGTTACTCGGCTGACCATGATGAGCCAACCCGTTCTCACTCCCAAAGCGTCAAATACTTTTAGTGTCTGAATGAGAGCTTTCATCTCACTCCAATGTAAACCAACCCGCATCATTGTTACCCGATCAGAGGAAATAACATAGTAACATAGATGGTCCACAAAGGGTAGGTTGGAGTTGTGGGGGAAGGGTCAAACAAACAGAGGACTTTCACCCAGGAGAGCGCTTTTCGTGTTCTGTGGGTAACCAAGTCTTGTGACTCATAAATCATGTGAGTCACATGAGTTGCAAGTCACATGACTTGCTTGTCAGTCAAGTTAACGTCAACCACTCTTTATAAAACCCAGCTAGGTGGTTTTGGTGCCTAAACCCAACTTCCTGTTAATTTGAACAAAGTTTATTTTGAAAAGACACTATGCATGTAACAAGTGTATATTGACAAGCCGTCCCTCCCGTATTGACGAGCTGGGGTGAGAATGTGTTGGATGAGCGGGTTGGCACAGAATGGCTTAAGCAGTACGGACTTAGGATAATACCACGACTGTGTCTGGTCAACTAGTTACCACATGTGGGTTGCAACGCACACTTTCATTGCCAAATGAAAGAAGAGGAAAAAAAAGAAGCTTTACTAGTTATTCTAGAAAAGACGTAAACAAAAAACCCACATCCAAGCGCAAAGTGATTGCACTACTCCTTCACACATAAACAGCATTTTCAGATGTAGCTATCTTAAGGCCTTACACACCGGGGGCTTGACAAGTTAAGACACCAAAATGCCAAATACCCGCTACGAATATGTTTCCCATTACAACTACTCAAACCATAGTGATGTGAATTTTGCAACAGCGCAGCACTAGTTCAGTAAAAGATTTGAATACATTTGTGCAGGCAGAGGACCAACGGCAGAGGCCGCTTCTGACAGTCTGTATGACGTGGACTGTTGTATAGTAATATATTTATTCAGTTTACTTTTAGCAAAATGATCTGAGTGAAACACTTACACAGTATATATGTCTGGGGCTTTTATTGTGAATGGTAAGAACAGAAGGGGTGAATCTGTTATCCGTGGTAGTTGAAGGATGGATGTTAGCTGGATAGCTTGGACTCTGTGGTGGATTTGAAGATTATCTACATCTCAGGTATAGCTCTGGACTAGTACTGACTTCATCTGTGTCCTGTCTTCTGTATCTACCAACTTAGCTGACTTCTATTTTATAAAAGTCTTTCAGAGTTTTCATCTTGTAGTCTCACTAATTGTGCACCGTGGATGTAGAAACAATTGAATTTGTTATTACTTCCCGCTGTAGTGTGGAGACGGCTGATACTTAATGCAGACTTGCAGGGCAGTCCTGACTGACAGCATGGAGCCGGATCTCGTGTCTGTGGGTGCTGGGGATTCTCTGCAGCAGTTATTAAATGCTGGGGCAGCCTCTAATTGTCTTCTGAGTATCTCTCTCACTGTGTCCAGTGTGTGTGTCTGCCTGCATTCTCGTCCCTCTGCCTACCTTAAAGAACTCCACAACCTGAACAACCTCAACATGCTGCTGTGTCTCAGCATTTACTCCCATCCTTGAACACCACCCACTCCAAAGCTTGGAGGAATTATTAGGTACATACAGTATGGAAAGCAGCAGCGAGTCAACCAGGATCCAAGCATATGCAAATTAGATTTGTGACGGATTTTGATGACAGCCTGGTCTCCTACAAATTATTGTCCATTATGTTTCAAAGGAAATATATTTTTTCACGGATTAAGTTTGTTTTTGACATATCACAAATACATTTCTAATCATAGTCCGAGGAAGTCTGTGTCAAAAAAAACAGGACATTCACCCAGGAGACCTCTGTTTGTGTCCTGTGTGAAACCAAGGCAATGTTGACTTTACAGCAGACATATTTATTATGAGCCAAACCACAATGTTTAACTTTATCTAACCGAGTAGTTTTGTTGCATTTTTGGTTTGGTTTATTTCGATTTACAATGTTAATCACACGTATAAAAGAGTGACCGTAAACCCAGAGAAAACACGTTTCCCTTGAAACCTAAGTGAGAATGAAGTTCAATTGTATTGCAACATAATTTTGTAGGAGACAGGGTTAAAAATCAATGACAGCATTGTACAGTGGGTATTGAGCCTATTTTGCCTACAAGAACAGTCTCACACAGATTCCATGTCCATGAATAAACTGTACACATGGGAACCTGCGATGTCTACAACACAAAATATCAGCTCACGGCACCGTGGCATACTGTAGTGATGGGAATTATGGCTGTTTGAAAGGAACCAGATCTTATAGCTCTGTTCATTTTATTGGTCTTTTCTTTTTTTAAGTCATATGATAGGAGCATGAATGTAGAATGGAAGAGCCGCGATACCTCAATTATCGCCCGAGTGTTAGCACCATCTCAAGCTCATTCCTCAACAATCGATTCTGCTCCTCTGCTTCACCCCCACCTCTCTCTGTCTCTGTCTCTTGTCCGTCTGTCTCCTTGTATGTGTGTATGTGTGTATATTTGTGTCTAGCAGCGCTTTGCAGTGCTTCCGCCTTTCTCCAGGCGCTGCAGATCTCGGACAGGCAGTGAAATTTGGCCCCAACAACAAAAAGAACGGCTCTCAAGTACGACTCGGCTCCCTTCTTTCACACAAAAGACACAAATTTGGGTCGTTCGTAGCTGTCACGTCACTACTGTGAGATGTCAGAGGTCAAACAGAAATCTGCTTCAGAAAATCACTACTCGGTGCCATACTATAAAAACCAATGTTGGGAAAACAAATGCTGAGTCTCACTGGTTAAAAAGAGCTGACTTAATTGGGATATATTTAAACACATCAATAGTTCCAGAGCTGTGCTGTGAGATTCTGTAGGCGTCAGGGAGCAAAATGAGAAATTGCTGTGATATTCAGGCACCGGGCTGACACTAATGTGAGCTGGAAGGAGAGCTCGTGGGCCGAGCACAGAGAGAGCCGCGACAGTCTGTGTGGAGAATGGACAG